CTGGGTTACATCATGTAGTGTCTGAGAGCCATACTGGCATTGGTAAGAATAGCTCAGCAAAATGGAGGTTCTTTACAATGAAGTCCGTGTCTTATTTTGCAGCCCTGCCACTTTGACTACGCCATCTTCTGCCCGAACATCAAGTCCATACTGATCCCATTGAGCATACACCCACATACTTTTTTACTATAATTTAAATAATAGAGATACAACTCTTATTTTACATACTAGTGTGGAGTACTATGGAGGCAGGAGATACACAAACACACTAGTGTGGAGTATTATAGAGGCAGGAGGTGTCACACACAGTCACAGATACTACTATCAGTATATCACTCACCTTTTTCTCCATCACCTCTGTACTGTATCATACAGTGATGGAGAAGAAGTGATGGAGAAGGCCAGGCTGGTTGCTGGGTAATGCAGTCCTCTGGCCGGTGGCAGCTCTCCTGCTCCTCAGTTCGCCGCGGGCGGCGTGAGAGAGCTACCGCAGGCCACACTTTTCTTCGGCCGTGCCAACCTCCCCCAACAGCCATCCCAGAAGCTCCCAGCTGGCCGTTTAATTACAATGGCTGGCCGGGAAGCTACTCGCCCGGCACCGGCGTCCTCTTGTTCCAGACGAGAGGACGAGTGCATTTTTCAAGCCGTGGGTATAGATAAAATTCTACCACTTATTAAAATCAGTAGAAAACAGTACATCACCAATAAATGATTGGATTAACAGACATATATGCACATTGAACATATATGTACATGTCGTGGAGTATGGGCTCAGTGTGGGTTGGCACCAATGAAAATGCTACATAGTGGGGGAAAAAACCAAACTATATGATCACAACCAAGAGAGAGGATGACGTTAAAAACTAATAGGGTTGTTGCCGCAAATGCGGACGACCCTCTATAGGAGTAATTAAAAGCAAACATTAATTACCATAGTAGTATAGTGATAAAGACTGGCTTAAGGTATTGGTTCAAATGAACAGTTACCTGTCATCAAGAAAGCAAGATAAACTTAGGTTACTGTTTAGACCTCTCGGATGCACAGTATGAAGGGTGTAGATCCATGACGCTTCCCCTTGGAGAAGCTGTGGTCCTGTCACCCTCCCTCGGATGTTTGGTCAGGTGTTCAATCACCATCCCTCTCATTTGTGGGTTTGGTGATGATGTTGTACAAAATGTAGTGCCACAGGTTTGTTTATATCAATGTCCTCACCTTTTTGTGTTTTGGTAATTGCAACACAAATGTCACTCCTGTGCTTTTGAAATCTGCGTTTCAACGGACCTGTTGTCATGCCAACATAAACTATAGTGCATGGACACTTTAAGATGTAAACTCAATAGTAGTAGTAATGCAGGCAAGAAAACCACGTATAGGGTACATATTGCCCTTGCTCGTCTTGCTGGAGAACATATGGGGTTCACTGCACTGAACCCCATATGTTCTCCAGCAAGATGGGTTGTTATAAATGCTACCACTGCAACATGTGCCCTTTTTTTTGGGTTAATCTTGCAGTCTTCTGTATCCTGTTGTTCATTTTGAATCTTTGCAATCTTTTTCTACTTTTTACATATTTTATTTGTTATATTCTTTTTAGCTTTCAAATGATGACAGTGTTCCTTAATTTTTATATATTTTAAATGCCCTTTTCTTATTTTAACATTGGATGTGAGCCACATGGGTTTTACTTTTAGCCTTTAAAACTTATTGCTTACAGGAATATTTTTTGCAGTATTTTTTTTGAACAATTGTTTTGAAACATTCCCATTTTTGTTCTGTGTTTCTTGATGAAAATATTCCCTCCCAGTCAGAGCCGTAGCCAGCTCCTTTTGCGCCCGAGGCAAGAGCACAAAATTGTGCCCCCCCCAACTGACCTGTGCGGTATGTGACATCATGCGCCCTGCTTCCAGGATGATGGCGAACATGCGCAGAATGCGCTGGTGGCCAAATCCAGAATAGCATAAACATGTATTTTGTTTGACAAATCTGAAACATTTTTAGTTTTCGTTCATTTCATCCGAAACAAATTTTTAGTCTTTGCACATGTCTAGTAATACACTATATTGCCAAAAGTATTGGGACACCCCTCCAAATCATTGTATTCAGGTGTTCCGTGAGATTTCCTTGTTACTAAATATTCCGCGGTCATGCTGAAGCGCACAGTACGCAAAAGTCGCCAACTGTCTGCAGAGTCAATAGCTACAGACCTCCAAACTTCGTGTGGCCTTCAGATCGGCACAACAACAGTGCGTAGAGAGCTTCATGGAATGGGTTTCCATGGCCGAGCAGCTGTATCCAAACCTTACATCACCAAGTGCAATGCAAAGCGTGGGATGCCGTGGTGTAAAGCACGCCGCCACTGGACCCTAGAGAAGTGGAGACGTGTTCTCTGGAGTGACCAATCACGCTTCTCTGTTTTTCAGGGGTTGGGCTTGGCCCCTTAGTTCCGGGAACTCTTAAGGCATCAGCATACCAAGACATTTTGGACAATTTCATGCTCCCAACTTTGTGGGAACAGTTTGGGGATGGCCCCTTCCTGTTCCAACATGACTGCACACTAGTGCACAAAGCAAGATCCATAAAGACATGGATGGGGGAGTTTGGGGTGGAGGAACTTGACTGGCCTGCACAGAGTCCTGACCTCATCCCCATAGAACACTTTTGGGATGAATTAGAGCGGATACTGCGAGCCCCGCCTTCTCCTCCAACATTACCAGTACCTGACCTCACAAATGGTCCAACATTCCCATAGACACACTCCTAAACCTTGTGGACGCCTTCCCAGAAAAGTTGAAACTGCTATAGCTGCAAAGGGGGGGGGGTTCATTTATTTTTTATTATTATTATTTATTTTTTTACTGTAGGGGGCTTCGGGGAAATGTCCCTTTTGAAATAGAAAAAGAGATTCAGGACACAGTGTCCTCTGCTCATGCAGGTGGGGGAGAGCAGCGGGGAGCACAGGCTCCCTGTACCGCTCATCTTCTCCCTGCAGTGCCGGGGCTGTTTTGGCTGCCTGGTGCCCCTTGTTGCCAATGGCGCCCTGTGCTCTCCGTGACAACAGGGGCGAGGGGGCGCAGCCATGCTGGCCTTGGCTGTATGCCCTCTCAGCTGCGCCTGAGGCGAGTGCCTCACTCGCCCCATGGTAGCTACAGCCCTGCTTCCAGTCGAAGTCTTCAAGAGCCGCCCTCAGCATGGGAAAATGTGCTCTCCTGAAGTTAAGTGTTTTTATTTTTCCAGTATGTGTATGTTGTTTACAACTTAAGTTAAAGGAGAACTATGTGGTAAGTGTTTTTCCCCATAGTTCTCTTTAGGGTCACGGGAGGACATATACTAACCTCCTCCTCAGTATATCGCGGGCAATACTGACAGCGCCACAGCCAGGACAGATCCCAACAATACTGTCAAGATCCACCCAGCTGCGTGAGTGACACCTGGCTCTGCCTAGAGGCAGAGCCAGCTGTGCCCGCCCCCGTTCATTCCTCCACTCAGTGCTGGAGGATCGGAGAGGGGAATCCCTGCGGGGAGCGGGGACTGACAGTCACTGCTCACTGCAGTGAGACGATCAGGAAGTGAGTGGATCGGCTGCATTTTCTGCTCACTTCCCGATCAATAGAGCCGACCTGTGACAGCTTCTTTGTCACAGGTCGGCTCTAACTATGAGGTGAGTGTTCTCCTTTAAATGAAATCATATTATGGTCAATTATGGTCATTGCTACCCAGATATTCTTTTATATGAATATTTGTAATAAGCTCTGCATTGTTTGAGATTACCAGATCCAGCAGAGCATCATTTCTAGTTGGGGCTCCTACATACTGTACCATAAAATTGTCATGCAATAAGTTTATAAATGTCTGCCCTTTTACTGTTCCGGCAGTGCCTTTATACCAGTCAATGTCAGGATAGTTAAAATCTCCCATTAATACTACTATCCCCACCCTTGCAGCGCTTTCTATCTGTTTAAGGAGCTGAGTCTCTATCTCTTCATTAACACTGGGGAGCCTGTGATAAACTCCAACAATTACCTTTGCATTATGCATACCAGTATACTACTCCACCCATAACGCCTCAGCACCATCACACTCACCATCAACAATGTCCTCTTTCACACTCACTTTTAGATCAAACCGCCACCTTTTCGTTTTACCCAGTCTCTCTGAAAGAGAGCATAGCCAGGAATATTAACAGCCCAATCATGCGAAGAACAAAGCAAAGATTCAGCAATACTAATTACCGTATTTTTCCGTGTATAAGACTATAGTTTTTCTTTTAAATATTTACCTAAAAATGGAGGGGCATCTTATACACGAGGGGGCTGAGAGGAGAACCGCGGTTGCGAAACTGCCGATACCTCTGTATACTAGCCTCACGAGTGAAACTTCCGATTGCAGAGACAAGCTAACAGGTTTCCTCCGATCATGATACCCGACGTCAGCTGATGCTGCGGAGAGCCTGTAGCCAGTGCCCAGATGCAACAGGGAGCGGTAATGTCGGAGCGTTCTGAGCCCATAAAAATGTCAGAAAACAAAAAAAAACGGTAAATACCGGTACCAGTAAGCGGCTGTCTTACTCTGCAAAATTTAAACTGGATGTAATCAGTTATGCAAAAGAGCTTGGAAAATATTGATTTCTGAATTTTGGCTAAGAAAAGTGGGGGGCGTCCTATACATCGGGGCGTCTTATAGACGGAAAAATACGTTCTCCTCATGCAATAGTTCTCCTCATGCACCAAAGCTTCCAATTCTCCCATTTTGCTGTGCAGACCCCTAGCAATGGTGAACAAACAATTGAAGCCGTTTTTACATTTTTTACTTATAATAGCTTTTTTTGTAGTACAACTAGTACTATAATCTCCAATGTTTGTTTGCAATAAAAAATTTTCTGAACTGTATATTTTTATATGAATAAATTAAGTTTTAACATCAAGGCTTACATTTCCTAGATACATTTCCTATTTTTACATATGCACAGGTATTCTAAACAGCTGTTCTTTCTCTTCAAAAGGGATTGCTCAGAAATGTACAACTATCAAGTATCACTTCTCTCAGCCCATTCGACTGAGGAATATTCCATTCAATTTGACCAGGACAATTCAGCAAGATGAGTGGCACCTTCTACGTAAGTATGAAGTTTCAAATGACACAAGAAAACAGTTGTGAAGAGGATACATTTATTGAAGTACAGTGTGTGTATGGGGGAGGGAGAGGGAGCAGGAGAGGAAGAGGGAGAGTGAGAGAGAGAGAGAACCTCTAATTTTTATCCATTAAACATTTTTTTATATGCAACAAATACCAATGATCCATGGTCAATTCACAAAGAGAAATGTTATTTGCTCTCTCTAGTTGTTAATTTATCTCTCCTTATTTTTTGTTTGAAAACAAGGTATGCACGAAAATCCCAATTGTTATTTAGCATGCTCATTAAAGTGGCATTAAAGTCAAAAAAAATCCCTCCCCCCATGTTAATGTCAGCACTTACCTTAAATGATGTCTCTTATTCCGATCTTCTTCTTTCCTCGTATTTTCATCTGTCCCTCCAGCGGTGCGGCGGCTCTCCGATCCAGCGCTGACTGCTCTGTCCCTCCGATCCAGCGGTGTCTGCATGCGGGTGCACGCGTCCATAGACTTACCTTGCGTCTCTGCTCGTCTCCCGGCCGAGAATCGGAACTGCGCATGCGCCCGCCCCAAGATCCTTTGCGGCCGTACGAGCAGTACCTGATTCTCGGCGCGGGAGCGCGCAGCGCTAACAAGGTGAGTTTAAACATAGTTAAAGCGTTTGTTTTTAAACTTCTTCTTGCCTATATCTACTGCTTGCTAGCAGTAGATATATGCAAAAAAACAGAGGGTTTAGAACCCCTTTAAGGCTTCCAACTGAAGCTTTAGGGCTTGTTCACACCAAATGCGGACCAGATCTGCATGAGTATCTGCATACGCAGTGCAGTGTGTTTTGCCGTGTTTTTGACGCGTTTCGGGCCATTTGTAACAAAAACTAAAAAAATGTCTTGCCTAAAATGGGCTTTCAGTGCGTTTGCATGTGTTTTGGATGTGTTTGCATGTGTTTTGGTGCGTTCCGGAACTGAACGCTCTGGTGTAAACTAGAGCCCAAAATACCACTGGAATACATTGGACGCAGTTTTGATCCATTCTGTAACTGCACTGTTCTGCAAGTGCTCCGCATTTGGTGTGAACTAGCCCTCAGGGAGTTGTTATTTTTACGTGCTCAACATTATTTTAGCAAATGAAGTGTTATTTTTACGTCTGGAATCGTGGAATTAACATTTAAGGTGTTAAAATACTTTTGTTGCCAGCAGTTTAGACATTAATGGCTGTGTGTTGAGTTATTTTGAGGGGACAGCAAATGTACACTGATATACAAGCTGTACACTCACTACTTTACATTGTAGCAAAGTGTCATTTCTTCAGTGCCGTCACATGAAATGATATAATAAAATATTTACAAAAATGTGAGGGGTGTACTGTATGTACCAGTTTTATCCACTTCCAGCGGGTTCACATAAGTACACGTCATCCGCTGGAAGGGGTTATACCACGGACACGTCCGTGTTCTTAGTACTGTTTTAAACAGCAGGCGATTGCTGTTTAAATACAAGCGATCCAGCGTCTGTACAGGGGACGGATCGATTGTACGTTGCGGCGCTGTGTCTCTCCCCCCCGCCCCCTTCCGCTACCGTCGGTTTCCCGGGCTTCGCGGTCCCCCGTGCGAGCCCGGGACCGGCATGGTGGGTCTCCCCTGATGGATCGGAGGGAGATCAGAAGGCTTCCAGACGCTGATCTCTCCTCTTATCATTGGACCCTGAAGTGATGTGCATTACATCACTTCTGGTGTCACTGTGCACATTCTCCAGCTCCTAGAGCCAGAAGAAGAAGCTGATGAAGCAGATCTCTGAAGGAGGTGCTTATGTAACGATTCGATAAATGGCCAAAAAATCTTTGTGAATTGCATTTCTGTACATGCAGTATTTAACGATTAGACTTGTTAAAATAAGGATTGAAATGTTAAATAATGAGCTTCACGATAAAATATCAAAAGTTTGCAAGAGAAGAGTGACGTTACTTAGTGGATTTTCCAAGCGTTAAATTGTTTGGTGAATTACACAAGCTTAAAGTGACTCCTCTGTCCTTCTCTTCTCTCATGTCCCACGGTGTCTGTGCGGGTGCATGCTGCTTCATAGACTTACCTTGTGTCTCTCCTCGTCTCCTGGCTGAACATCTGAAGTGCGCATGCGCCTGCCCCAAAATCCTTTGCGGCCGCCTGAGACTCTTCAGATGTTTGGAGGGGAGCGCACGGCGAAGACACAGGTAAGTATTAACCCTTTTTAAAAGGTTTTTTAAAAAATGTTTCTGCTTGCTAGCAGTAGATATATGCAAAAACACGCAAGGGTTTAATAACCTTTTAAATATCATGCAATATCTATTAAATAATGAGCGAAATCAGGAAAAAAAGCTTTGTGAATTGACACCATATTCTCTATTCCTACAATAAGGGTTTCCTGCATCCTTCTACCCAACCTTTCTGCTCTTACTATATCCTATCATATATACTCTAGATACTATTATCTTTCCATCTATTCTTATCCCTGTCATCTGTTTTTTCCTGATTTCTACCATTTCTACCATGAAATCAATCTTTACCGCTCAAAGAACATCTTGATATCTGATATCCTTTTTCATTTTCTCTCCTTTCTTTATTTCGTCCAACTGTCCCTTTCCTCATACATTTCTTTCCTCCTCTAGTATTGCCTAGCTCCCATCATCTGTGGTTTTGTCAGGTCTGTGCATAGGTGCAGATATAGCAAAAGATACAATTTTGGAAATAAAAGGATTGTACCTATATATTGACACATTGACACATAGAAAAGAGCGGGCATAATAAAATCTAACTAAAGTCATAGTAATAATAATAATAAATATATTCATTAGGTATTATGATCCTGTCTTACTAAGCCCTCAAACTGTCTGTGTAATATTGATATCCTGTGCAATATCGATAGCTTAAGAGTTGGAGCATAGACACATTGGGGGAAATTCATTAAAACTGGAGCAGGCAGAATCTGGAGCAGTTGGTCATAGTAATCAATCAGCGTCTTTCTTGAGTTTGTTCAGTCAAACTTTGAAAATGAAAGAGAGAAGCTGATTGGTTGCCATGGGCAACAGCTCTAGATTTTGTCTACTCCAGTTTTGAAAAACTCCCCTCAGTGTCTCTACATCCTGCAATGCAATGCTGATGCATCAAAGATCTATTAACGTGTATGATCATTCAAAACATTGTTTTTAGTTTTGGATAGAGTAGGGAAGTTAATTTGTTAAGATGTTAATGTCACTGTCCTGCTGGGAAGAGTTCTCTTTTCTTCCTATCTTGGAGGCGCAACATGAGGTGAGAGAGATCTTCCCAAAGTGAAGGGAATTCCCATCATGGACAGTTGTCACCAAACAGTTTTGCCTATTGAACTATTTACCCTCACCTCTTGCTCCCATTACAATTCTATAATTTAGGATTTCCCTGTACTTTCTGTGCCAATGACAATGGTCACCAGGATCAATAGAAGAATGAATCTCTCCAGCAGGGACATAGATCGCATTAAACATTTAGCGAACTATCTTACCCACACTGTATATAAAACAAAAATGTTGCCTTTACATACACAATCTTATTGACACAAGAATGAGGGTGAGCTGTGCCTATGTGAAAAGTTAATAGGCTTACATTTTGTGGGCCAGCCCAGTGAAACAAGGAGTATGTACTGACATTTTGCTGTCCTTGTTTTTCTATGCATGGGCTAATTTCTATGACTCAAGAACCAATGATAAATCCCAGTGGGGATAAATGTTTTTCTTAGGAGGACAAATTCTTAGAACAACTCTCAGGAATTTAACCAGACAGTCATAGGCTCATCTAATATGAGTAAAAGCTGATAGGGCTGACACTTGAACCTTGAGAGTATTTAACTCTAGGCCAAAATCTAGGCCAGATTGGAGAAATTCTAAGATATTGTGAATCTCAGGGGACAAGGGATCAAAACTGGAAGATGTATCAAATTCCAAAAACTTTCCCCACATCCTGGCATATGTTATATTGGTGTTCTTCTTTCTAGAGGAAAGGAGTGTATCTACTACCTTGGAGGAGCAACCTAGTGATGAATATGTAAACTTCTCAACTTCCATACTGTCAGTCTCAATGCTTCCAGATGCTGATGTTGCAGTTGCCCTTGACTCAAGAAATGAGGAAGCAGGGGCAGATGGATTGGATCGTCCAATGACAGAAGCGTCAGTAGCGTGAACTACAATCTCTGTGGCCACCAAAGAGCCACTGTAAGAATGGTCACTTTTGAGGGCGTGTCCAAGATGGCGAACGGAGCACACGTGTAATAGCTTATCCTATCCTTATCTTATCCTGCAAGTTTAAGCCCTGTGGAATGCTCATTTCGATACTGGACTGCAGTCTGCCTGTTCCCAGAACCGGAGGGTATGTCTCGGGGGCGCCATAAGTAATCTACAGGCCGCCCCAGTGTCCCTTCGCCCTTGCGGGCCCGCGGAAAGAAGCAGCCTCATTGTAGTATGGTGGCCCAGCCGGAGGTCTCGGAGGAGGCCCTCTCTGGCCCTGCCCAGTTCACGGCGGTGATGGCCGCAATCTCCGGATGCCAATCTGCACTCACGGCCAAGATTGACCATCTCCAATCGGATGTGGGACTCCTCAGACGGGACCTGGACCGTTTCCGGGATCGGATAACCGCGGTGGACGGTAGAGTGAGTGAGGTGGAGGACGTGGTTGGGGCCCATACGGCGTCTTTACGCACCCTGCAGACCAAAGTCAAAGCCTTGGAGTCCCGGGCGGTGGATGCCGAGAACCGTAATCGGCGGAGCAACCTGCGCATCCTGGGGCTGCCGGAGTGGATGGACCCACTTACCTTTGCCGAATCCTTGATCCACGCCCTGCTCCCTAAGGCCCAACTTTCGGCTTTCTTCGCGGTTGAGCGGGCTCATCGCATGCCTTCCTTCCAGGGCCCCCGGGGGCCCCTCCGCGTACTTTCATCTTCAAACTCCTTAACTTCCGGGACCAGGATGCAATCGTGCGAATTAAACGTGCGAATTGTGGCCGTC